TCTACAATTGTAATTTCCTTTGCGTTCATATTTTCTCCAAGCAAAAACTCTATTGATCCAACTTAAAAAAGAATCAATTTGAATTTTTAATTTATTTATAAACATCCTAAAATTTTTCCTTTGCAATAGATATTCTGTAGTTTATATATAGCGCTTTATAGAAGCCATTAGATTATTATGAGGAGGGGAGACTCGAAATATTAGATCCCTTACGACCTTTTTAATAGTTTACGAGTGTTCATGTATCTCTGTTACGTCTAGACTAAGTCGCGACAAAGAGAAGCAAAATATAGATGATATTTATAAGGCCGCAAAAACTGCCCGATACGCCCCCCAATAAATATTTACGCATGAAAGATGTCGCACGAGAAAACATTTGCGGGATACTTTTCGAGGGGAGTAAACGTCTACGAATGACCGTGGAATCGTTTTATTTGCGATTTATTCTCGGTTAAAATCCGAGCTTTCTCGGTGAGCTCGTCGCGCATCAGCAACGGCGGGAATTTATGAGAGATCGCGCGCCGGTTTTCGAAAGATGTCCGTAATAGTGCAAAGATAGCGAGAGAAGACGAGAAATAAAAGTCCGAAAGCGGGGGAACCCGTTAGGGTTACATGTACGTATATGGTAGAAATTGACAGAACGCATTTCCGAGAATGATATCGTGATATTGTGTAATGAGCGGAAGGGGCGGAGGGGAAATACGTTCTTCTTTCGCCTCTGCGTTATATCCATAACGATCCTCAGAATTCGCAATCAACGTCCGTGCAGTCGCGATATCGTATCTCGGCTCGAACGAAGCCCGTACTACGAGAACCGGATGCAAGATTTTTAGAATAAAGATAAACTCACGTTTGTGTAAGCTATTGTAGTAGCATTGATAAAAAATTATAAATATATGCTACGCATCACGCGAATGCATATTAACTTTTACACATCGTTCGTAACTCCTCCTTTTAATTGGAGAACATGAAACGCGGTGAATGTGTCAAGAGGGTAGGGGGACAGTAGTTTCCGGAACACAAAGAAAACTCGCGCGGAAAATTTATGTGTGCTCACTAAATTCTACGCCTCCGCGCTAACGACGTAATTATATTGGAAATAAGAGCGTTAAATGTGTGCCGAGATTGTACCGATACATTGTACAGATACACCGTTATATTAACTACTTCAACATTTTAAAACGCAAGTAAACGTTTTATCAAAATATAAAATGTGAGAAATCGCGTTGCCTTAAAAAACCTTATTTACTTAATAATGCGACTATTTATAAAAATTTCCTCCATTCAAAAACATAATTTAATAATACCTTTAATTCAAAAATTACAGTAAATTATGTATCAATTGTTCTTTTAAAAAATCTTAAGCGTATCAAATTACTAAATCTCAAAAAGTACAAGTACAAAGAAAAAAAGAGACAGATGGCATCAATTAAAAAAATCGTAACCCCCAGAAAAAGAAAATATAAGCTAGACAACGAGAGAAATACCCAAAGGAATCTACAAGCCGTCTGATGTAGCTGAATGCAGGGGGCTAGCGGAGATTCTTTTCGATGACGCCAAAGGAACACGAATGTAACCGAACGCCGGTTTTTAGTGGCATCCTCTCAACGTTTCTCTGCCTCTTTAAATGCATGGTAGCGTGATTCCATGCAGTTGGCCTTGGGGAAGCTGCTAGAGCGTTCAGGCTCCTCCTCGCTCGGTGGCCCTGAGAAGGTGGCCACGGTCAAGGTTACAAGCATCCTCCCCGCCCCTCCTCCTCTCCCTCACCTTCTGCTGCTTCTTCTTCTCGTCGACCAATGTTAGCAATCACGCGGTTACACACATATACACGCGCACGCAACAAACTCGAACGGATCCCGTCGTGCTATACTCGCGCGCGCGCGCGCGAGCAACCTAAACTCGCCGTTGCATTTTAGTGCATGTGCACTCGCCTCGAGTCCATTATCATCCGGTTGCGGTCGGAACGAAAATGAAATCGAGCTGCAAAATCCAAAACCTTGCTAACTGTTGTAATCGAGAATGTACGATTCAAATATCACAAGCGATATAGAGTGCTTCCCATAAAAATAATAACATGTCAAAAATATTATTAATATTATGTACAAAGAATTTAGAGCAAAAGTTAATCGAATTCACGAATTATAAAAATCACTCGAGAGAACATGGCTTTATATTTAAATATTATAGATTTAATTAACTCTTTTTGTCAAGCTTAATGTGACAGCTTACTATAATAAATTTGCACTAAAAAAAGCAAGCAAATAAAAAAAAAAAAAAAAAATTGTTTTACAAAGTCAAGATTGTCACAGATAAAAAATTTTCCACAGAAAAAAGAATATGCTTTTGAAGCTGTATTTTGCATTTGCTATGTTTGCTTGTATGTACAAAGCCTTAGTAGCAAGATATCGCGCATTCATCGCGAGCGAACTCTTAATCGAGCAAACGGACAGCTGAGGTCGGAAGTCTGGAAAAATTCAAGGCGTTCAATAGCGGTCGAAGAAGGCCCATGAGGGTTTCCGACCCATCGAACTGAAGGAACATAAACAGAAATAGGACAGGTTTCCAAGGCTGCCATCTATATATAGGATGCACACCACACGGGAAGTGCGAGCGCGTACTATGGGTGGAGCAGCGCTGTCGTAATCGTCGTAGTGCTCTCTCGTTGCCCTTCGTCTTCTCGCTCACTACCGGAGGTCTAGAGCAACCATATACACGACCGACAATACACACGTATATCTATACACACTTGTATAGCGACGCGCGCCGCCGAGAAGAAAACGGACCAAGCGGCGTTCATTCATGTCCTCTTGAACGCCCGTCTAAAGTCTCTTTACGACACAAAGTGAACACGAACGATCGACTGACTTTGTTTTCTCTGACAAGATACCGTTCTCATTATTTCTTTTGTACAGAATACATGTTGATGACATAAATCGCGTTGCGTTGAAAAAAATTTATAATTTGATAATTTGCCTCTTGCTATATCTTGAGATACCAAGATATAAGCCTACATTTAAAATCTCTTGTAAACATTAGTCTTGTAGATAGTATTTCCGAATTATTGCATGTTTTATTGTAAAATTTCGATAGAATATGCTAATTATCTAAAAAATACTCGTAAAATGTCCTTTTGCAAAACATTTTTCAATATTAAGATGTTAATGTCATTAATATAAGAATTGCATTGGTATGAATTTTTTCGAAGAAACAAAATTTCAATTAATTTTGAACATTCTTTAAACTGGTTTTTCGTAAATTATTTGTTTTCCTATCTGCAATAAGATTTTTTCCTTTGAGATATATATATTCTTGAAAAATGCTGGAGACGCGATCTCTCTCTCTCTCTCTCTCCCTCCACCTCTCTGCGAGCATATTTCAGAACTTCGATGAGCGCACGAACCGGTTCCGCGCCCCTTTTACGAAACCAGCAAGCAGCAACGATTAATATTAAAAGTCAGTCGAGCGAATTAACCGACGATTGGGATCGCTGTCAAACTTGCGCAAAGTTTGGCGTCGCATTTTTGTGCTCTCTCGAAAGATCCTCGGTGTCGAATTTCACAGAGCAACGAATCGGACTCGATGTGTTTTCGAGTCGAATATTACCGTCCCCGTCATCTCGCGAGATATCTTAGCGCATATAGTCGAATGCGATCAGCGTCGAAACGACGATACAGAATCTCGGTCGGGGCTCTTTAACCTCCCTTTTTCGTCTCTTTAAAGCTTCCGCCTTGTCCCTAGTTTCGAGAATCGAGCGTATGTTGCGAGAATTTTCGCCGTCATTTGGACACCATCTGCCGCGACAAAAATCGCACGGTACGTTTTTATCTAAATATTTGGAGATCATAAAACGCGGTAAGCGACAAACACATAAAGGAAACGGTTGAATTAACTGTGTTTCGGTGGGATGTGATTATGTAAGAAAGAATCGAGTAGCGAGTTTTGAAATCAAATCCAGTTTGACTGCTATGTGCTTGAGAGCGGAGTATGATTTATTTTTATGCGTGTCCCCGCGGCGCTTAACACGATATATATGCGCCTATTTATTCGTAGATAGAAAATATTCCGAGGTTTTCGAAGTGTTTAGATTTATATAAGAAGTTGTAAGAGAGAACTGCGTTCGTATAAAAAAAAAAGAAAGAAAGAAGGAAAGAAACGTTTAATATTCAAAAGAAACATATTTTACCTTTGGTTCTTCTTTACATAGGCCACGCCCAGTTTTTGCGTCATAGGCACTGATATATCGTATAAAGATTATCTTGCGCACGTTCCTTAAATTCCAATCTCTCTACATAGTTTCGCATTTATTGCGTTTTTATATATTGCGTCGAAAGTCCTGATAGCGTCTTTACGATTTTCATTCTCGCGCGTCTGCTTTAAGGTGTCGCCTTCCCCGGAAGATATACCCACACGACACGCGACGAAGGCTCCGACGGGAAAACGACTCCCCGACATGGTCCTTGTCATTTATCATTCTTATCCGAAGATTTAGTTTCTCTTTTTATAGCGAGATTCCTTTCGAGGATTTGCATGAAACGAGTTTCGCGCGATGCATCCTCTCGTTATCTCACAAAGCAGAATTTTTGTCGAGGAATATCCATTCACTTTGTTTGAAATCCTATCAATAGTTTCTATTATCGATTGCAAGACTGAATTAAAGAATCGAAGACTATCGTATTCAAAGCATTTTTATCGATTAAACCGAAATTCAAGCCATTTCAAAAACCATAAAACCCCGTTTCGAGAATTTATATCAAATTTACCTTTTCGCACGATAACAATCTCTGTATTTATATACGTGTAAACAATGTGCGTTATCAAAAAAAAAAAAAATAAAATAAAATAAACATCGCGAGCTATCCTGATGCATTACAAACGCGATAAAACGAGTATTGCAAAACAGTCGAACGTGCTATTAAAAAAAAAGCAGTCATTTTTTAGAAATTAATCCCGTGGTTAATTGCTCGCAAGCATTATCGGGCGATATAAATGATAAGACTCACCTTGCGCGATCGCTGAAGAAGTCGACCTTGCTCTTCTTCTTCATGATAACCTGCGGTTGGTGCAGCGGACTGACGCTGGGCTCGCTGGTGGCCGGCGGCGAGCTGGAACCGGTGCTGGATGACAGGGAACCGGCCCTGCCGCGGCCCGACTCGATCATCTGAGCCTCGCTGGTGCCGCGCCCGTTGGCGGTGACGACGTGATTGCCGTGATTGGGCGGTCCGGCCGACACGGCCAGGCTCGGTCGGGTGTTCTGCCGGTTGCGTCGTTTCTTCTTCTTGGCTTCGTTCTCGTCGGGACGATTACCGGGCACGTTGCCGAAGCCGGGTGGCAGCCAGTCGAGATCCTTCTTCAAGTGGCCGCGGCCGCAGCGGCAGCCGCACGCCTTGAACGCGAGATCGTAGCCCTTCTTGGTCCAGAGATTCTGATGACGTTGACGCTCGGACCAGCTGCGAGCGCGACCGCAGCTCTTTAGGTACGTGAGTACCGTTTGCTCCCAGACGTCGAAGCACTCGCGATGCATAAACTGGCCGATCGGGCAGTTGTCGTTGTTGCAGGTGACCTTGACCGTGTCGTGCAGGGCGTTTAAACGGATGAGAGTATCGCCGCGCAGGCACTCACCGGTCGGCGTGCAGCATCGCGTCGTCTGGGTCGGATTACCCAGGAGATTGTCCATGGGATCGTTGATACCGCCACCGGCGCCGCCCCCGTTCTCCAGGAGGCCACCGCCACCGCCGTGGCCGCCGTTGGCGTGACGCCGCGGTGCCATAGATGCTCGGTTTTTGCTCAAGGTCGCGTGTCCTTTCCCGTTAATTCTCGAACGTAGTTTCTCGTTGAGAGTGGCTCGAATGTAGGTTCGAAAATTGCGAATATCGCGGTTACCGATGGACGAACGCGCGATTCGTTGCGATTACGATGATCGGCTCACTTCAGTTCTTCATTTTCGGTTACATCTCACGCGATGCGAATACGACGAAGAAAAGAAACCGTGTGAGAATGGCGGAAATCGATCTGACGCCCGAGACCGATTCGCGACTCGACGAAATCAAGGAGTCGCCTACCCGTCAGAATCAAGGTCATTCGTTGTTGCGCGTCACAACAAAATTGTCGGTCGCGCGATAGGCACACACCGCTCGGAAACACTGCCCGGAATATGGCGTGACGTTGGCTCTAGTCTCTCCTAGTTGCGCATCGAAGTCAAGGTCACTGCGTACTAGAGATACATACACACCGCGCCACTCTGTCCAAAGAAAAGTCACTAAAAGTCGCGAAAAGTCCGGCAGTGCGAAGAATACACTACGCGTCCTCGTCGATCATTGTCCGTTTCCGCGTTTCTTCTCTTTCTCTCTCTCACGTACGTATATACGTACGTACGTGCGTACGTTCGTTCACCGCCGCCGACTTGGCATAACACAGCGCGATGTTGCTCCTGCGCGCACGAGACGACGAATGTGTCTCGGCTGCCGGCTTCTCGAATGTCAGGGTCACCGGCGCCGGTACGCGTCGCCGGCGTGCGACGCAATTTCCGATGTTGGGCGCGCGCGCGCGCGTCGCGTTTCACGACCAACTGCCGCGACAATTCGAATAAGCACACTTAACGAGCGACGTATACGGTCTATGAGAAAAGGACGCACATACGTTACAAAACACAACACGACACTGTCTCTCTCTCTCTCTCTCTTTATTTTTCTTATACTTCTCCCTTTTTCCGTTCTCTTTTTTCTCTCGCTGCTCTCCCGACGAGACAGACGAGCTCACGACGGAATAAACGCTCGCTCGCACGTAGGGTATACTAGTCACTGAGAGAAGCCGGCGACGACAGCGTGTTGGCTGCCGTGGCGCCGAACGCGGGCGAGCGCGAAAGTGAGGCCCCATTGGGTGAAAGCGAAAGCCACCATGGTGGGGGTCACGGCTAGCGCGCCAATCGATGCGCGCCGTTGTCGCGTCCCTGCTGCTCCGCGGTCGCGACATCGCTCCGTCTTTCTCGCACATACGCCGTCGCTACCTGCTACGCCCGCATGCCATCTCTCTCGATACACCGGTCTCTTTCCATCCGTCGCGCGACACGACGCGGTACCTTGTTGATTCTATCCTATTCTTTTCCTCGCCGTGTCTCTCTCTCTCTCTCTCTCTCTCTCTCTCTCTCTCTCTCTCTCTCTCTCTCTCTCTCTCTCGCGCGCTCGCGAGTGCCTTCGCTGCACATACGCGCAACGCGCGTTTTACTTTTCGAACCCGGCCGGTCGAACAGCGAATATAATTCGAGATTGTTGTCGCGTGTGTGTGTGTGTGTGTGTGCGTGTGCGTGTATACGTCCCGCGGTACGAGGCAGCCCGGGCGAATTCAGCGAGAGCGAGAAATCGTACGAAGGTAAGATACGCCAGAATTTGTGTGTCTCGTATTTGTTTCATACCCGGAATCTTTCTTCCGTCTCTCTTTTCTCTGTCTTCCTCTCTCTCTCTCTCTCTCTCTCTCTCTTTCGCGCGCGCGCGCGCAGGCTATTGCATTATATAGATACGAAGTAATATATCACGAGTAGCTGTTTTTCTTTCGAGACAAAGTAAACGAATTATCGAGTTAGTATATCGTTTTTCTTCTAAGATTGAGATGTGATATTATCTTTAAAATGCGATCAATTTTCCTGGAATTAAATACAAATTATCTTTGGTTAACTTCTCTTCGATAAGATCGTCGACTATGTTCGTAACCGCCAAGTGTCGATGACGATAGTAATAGTAATAAACAGTTCTGAATTCAAAACAAACTGGATAACATTATATAGCGAGTATTAAAAAGGTTAAGTATAAATATTTATGATTATAGATGATGAGAGAGAGAGAGAGAGAGATCTTGAGAGAGAGAGTGAGTGTATGAAAATATCTGTATTATAAAAAATCTATATAAATATATTATTCTATTAATTTCTCAAAAAATATTTTAATACAAGAAATGAGCTAAATATTTAATTTTTTAGTAATGTCAAGTTTAATTAATATTTATTTGGTCAAGCTTATACCTCTCTTAACTTATTATTACGTTGAAATTAATCTCATTGAACATGTTCTTTAATTTTATTCACATCCTTTTAACATTGACTTATCTTTCTGTCTCGTTGTTATACAACATATAACTACGATATATTTAAAATTCAATATTGTAATCTCAATATTTTCAATTTTTGTTATAAGTAAAAAATTGTTTGACTCATCTTTTTTAGATGTAAGAGTATCTGGAAACTAGGTAAATAATATTTTTCAAATAACATGTTTTCTCATTTCATCTCTTTTAAAGTAATATACACACACACACAGACGCAAAAATAATATAGATACATATATTAGACGCGATCTTTTAATATACTATAACTATAATTATACAATCTTGATTTACGCTTGTTGTTCACAGTATTTCACGTTATGACGATTTTTTACTGTGTTATTTTTTCATTATCAACATATGATGTAATCGGAGTTTATTTATGTACGTATACACGCGACTCGAGTCGGGTGTACGTGAACGACTTCACGTTCTCCGCTCCGACGAATGATTCACAACGGATGCGTTAACAGCAATTACAAATAATAGTTTCCACTAAAACATCTATACACGGTGTTTTTTTCTCTATTACGCGTCTACGTGCCATTAAACCCTGCGAAATGTACGTCGTAAATTCGCGAAATGCCACGACCATGGGTATCTATGAGAACCGGATCGTACTACGCAACTATACTATATAAAAAATGAAACGGCCATGTTTAAAACCGAGCAAAATCAGCCGACGAGATTTAAATAAAACCATAAAAATATCTTTTTATGGCATATCTGTTTTTGATATCAAAAAAATATATTCTCTCTCTCTCTCTCTCTCTCTCTCTTTCTAATAAATTTTACGGTAAATATAGCGAATAGGGGACCCAGCCCCAATGACCTTGACATATGTTGTCAAGGACATAATTCTGAGTAACTTTTTCTTCTAATTTAATCGTCGCTCGTTGCTTATTAAAAAGTTATTAACAAAAAAAGTTTGAAATATATCAAAGTACATGCACGGACAGGAAGCACGCGCGCGCGCGCACACACACACACAAAAATTTTACAAATTTTAAAAATTTTTACAAATTTTTGTTTGTTAATAACTTTTTAATAAGCAACGTGCGACGATTAAATTAGAAGAAAAAGTTACTCAGAATTATGTCCTTGATAACATATGTCAAGGTCAAGGTCATTGGAGCTGGGTCCTCTATTCGCTATATTTACCACATGACCCAAGCATTTTTCATTGCAGATTTTATTTTGACAACTTTGCGATGAGATTTGAAGATACGCAGTTTTCGACAATTATGTACATCACGATTGTGACGGAGATATTTATGCGCGAGAAATTTCAGTTCATATCTAGGTAAGTCTCGACAAAATAGTCCCACATATTTATCCAGATAAAATCTTTTCCACGGGAATTTCGATTCATGCTAATTGCATATTATAAAAACTCGTAATATAAGACATGATTAGCCAGGTAGACAAGTCTCTCGACGCAAATTTTAATTTAGACTACCGCAAACTTGTCTCTTGGATATTATTTTCAATGTCATCGGCTTTAGATTTCAGAGAATCCAACGAGGATCTTTCGATACTTTTATTCGATAGAGTTATGTAGCATAGCTATGATAACAACTAGGCACAAATATAAAATTAGATAAATAAAAGTATATCACATATTGTAAAAATACACTTGTGTATGTGTATTTGAAGTTATATCTAATATTTGTCGAGAAATTTATATCTGCAAATATACACATACATGCTATTAAAGCAATTTATCGATGATAAATCGAAGAAACGTTTTATCCGTTATTTCTCGACTCACTTTTGCGGACTTGTTATCGCAACTGTCAGCGAAAGAGTTGCACAAACAACATTCTGATTTAACATGTAAATGTCATGAATTATTGAACGTTTGACTTATTTATAAAAGAGAACATCATCAACAGCAAAGATTCTTTTTAATGATTATTTTATGTTGAATAAAATATTTATAATCGCATACAAAATGCATACATCAACGATCTTTCTTTCCGGTATAGCTGATATTTTATCACAAATTTGCTGATATTTTCACTTTAATCAGAAAAAATATTTGCCGGATAACAGATTATTCGCGAAATGCTCTATTCTGTGTGCTAAGTTACTTTTTAAAAAAGAAATTATATAATATGTATGCGGATTGTATTAATAACAAAGGGAGTAGATACAACTAAAGAGAGTACATGCAACTAAAGAGAGTAGATACAAGAGATATATTTTTTTATATCCTGATAAAAAATTAATTTTTTTAATAAATTACTTTTACAGATTAATTGTTGTTTCTTATTTTATTATATTTGACGCTATTATATCTTATCTAGTGAGATAATATTTAATAAATTTTATGAACAAACAATATTTTATAACATTATTATGGCCATCTGAAATTTTATAACACTCAGAAACACATTTAAAATATTTTACATATCTACTTTACTTTTGTGAGGCTTTTCAATTATAAATATATTACACTATTATATTCTAATCCATATCTATTTTATTATAACATAATAAATCACATAAAGTTTGTTCAAACACAACGCTAAATGTATTTATATAGCATTCCCACATAATTCAGTCATACGGAATAAATCGTAAAAAGCTGATTCTGTTTGCCCGAGTATAACCTAGTGTGTTTTGGACCGAAACTACGCATCGAGCCGGCTTCACAACGGCAAAGCGAAACGAGATACGTATTAGATTACGTTGCATAATTTTATCGGCGATCGTAAAGCCGTAAGGAAACTTGATACCGCCCAATTCGCACGCGACACGAGTCCATAAATTGCGGATGTTGATAAAAATAGCGCGTAAAAATTTTCGATACTAAAATCATATGATGGTGGAGTTTTATGCTGCTCTGACACACACAGCATCACGAGCGTTTTCCAAGATATTAGCGTAATTATATTTTACATCAATCTGCCAGAATCGTCACGGTGATGTGCGATCATTTTTTCAACGACCAATAATAGTTAAATTAGTTGATTAAAATTATTAGCTAAATTATTATTACTTAAATAATTTATAATATTATTATTATTATTATCTAAAATTATAGTTAAATTTATTTATTTGTTTCAAATTATTTTCTATCTAACAGAGAGATTTGTGTAAATAAATGTTGCGTTAGATTTGATTATGATGGATCTAAACGAAACTCAATCAAATTTTGCGTTTGACGAATCTATTCGACATATTGCGGAGATTTTTTTCAAGGGCATAGACAAACAATCGGATTCGTGAACGGCGGATGAGTACGTCGATTCACGGTGAGAATATTCCGTTCACGCGTGAATTTTCCTGCAATAAATATCTAGGTATGACGATAAATAACAAAAGCCCGGAGTAAACTATATATCACGCTCGAGCACATTGTACGTGACGTCAGAGAGACGAATTTGATTCGCCGGCATGGTGGAGACTCGCCATTTGTATCGACTCGTGTAAATATTGTACAAGAGCTGAGTGAGTTCCGCCGCGGTGGAAATCCAGGTCAGTCGGTTCCCGAATTTCGCCGGTCGATGGTTAGACGCGAGGGAACCGACCGTTGCCACTGCCTACGGGGTACCCGAGAAAGGATAATCCAGCGTTCTCTCGAGAGGGCTCCCCGTGAAAAAGCTGTTTTGATCGGTTCGGGTTTCTAGGACGGTGACCGTGAATGAGGCTTTAAGCCGGTACATACGACGCTATACGTCATGGGGAAGAAGAGCGGAACCGGAGGGGGAGGTTGCAGGCAGACGAGTTTACGTATATATAAAGACGAGTTCGGATATATAAAGAACCAGATGTCACACTGA